TTTTACAGAAATAGCTACAACTGATACTTTGACTCCCAAAATTATGAAGGACCTTAAATATTTTTTTAGTGTTCAGCATTTTACCTCGAACAAGACATCTCTGCCTTTACCTATTTAACTAATCGTGTGAAACTAAAAGAAAATGTGTTCACAAATTTTTAACTGAAAATCAATGACGAGTTTTATGAATATATATGTATATACATACACATTCATGATATGGTATAGGTAGCTCACGAAGAGGACAATATTTATGAGGATGGTAAATGTAAACAAAATGTTTTTATCTTACTTCTAACAATTTAAGGTGACTATAGGTCAAGAGGTGATTTTATTTGAAGTTCAGACCACTTCAAGCCTCAGCTAAAGAAAGCATTTCTCAATGTCATTATGATAATTCAGCTTTAATCAACCTTGGCATGTTGAGTTCTCTTTTTTTTTCTGTAAACTTCAACCTAGCATGTATTTATAAAGAGAATTTTCTAATTTTATTGTGAATATAATTTATTTCCCTTATAGAAGATAAGTCAAATCTGAATAAGAAATATGTAGTTATTTGGGGATACTCTAAGGAATACTGATTTGGGAAGGAAGAATATAGTTAATAAAAGCCATGCTTGATGTTATTTAACACAAAGGCAAACACACATCTTTTCATATTTGACATTAAAAATCTGATCATTTGCCTCCCTAAAGAAAGCACATACAGCTTTTATACAGACTGCACAGTAAAGAATAATAATATTTCTGTTTACTGAGATATCAAATGGCATTTCACTGTAAGTCAATGGTCTATCATTGCTACAGGGTATTAGACCTCAATCTGGCATCTACAAATGTCACAAGTATAAAAAAAATAGGATGAAAATCAAAAGCATGTTCTAAACCCCCCAAAAAATAAGGAAAAAGGGAAACAAAGTTCACCTAAATGCAATTGCTGCAGAAATCAGTGCAATATTCAGCTGTCAATCTAGAAAAAACAAGGGAGCCACACAGTCAGTAGGACAGGATAATAAAATTTCCGGCAGATGTTCAGGCTGAGCTCTAATTTTTACTGAACTCCCTTGGTAAGCATTTAATTTCTTTATCATATGCAGGCTCGGAAAATTGTACTTCATCACAACTGTATTGTGAAATATTAATATTTCATGTGATAACAAAACTCTGTCATCTAACCTTTGTTATATTAAGAGCATCCAAACTTCAAATGTCAAGATTCGTAATTTTAATACATTTTAAACAGATCCTTGAATTGGCATAATAAATTATAATAAAGTTAGTCTCAATGGGTGTGCTGTAATGTCACACAAATGTATACTATATATATTTCAATTATGTGTTTGTAGAAGGCTGTAGAAACTTATGAGTTCAAATGTTGCATACAGCAATGTTTTTTCAACAAGAAAGTAAAGATACTCGTAAGATGTAATTATACATTCATAACCAGCATAATTACTAAGTAGGGACAATGTAAAGAGCACAAAATGTGTTTGTCTGTGAGGCAGATAGATATTCTACCCACTTGTATGTAGGAAGTAATGGTTTTGAAAATGGCATTATGAAAGTGCAAAGTGGTATCATCGCGTTATTGCAATCTACACAATAGTCTTTGCACACTATTTCATCCCCAACATTATATTTCACACACAAGTTTAATTTGCGTTTGTTTGTAACTCCCCTTTGGAACTAGCATCACAGGCGTATGAATTGGACAAATCCAATTCAGACTGGAGGTTTAGAAGGAAGTTAGCTTTCACAGTTCTTTCTGCTGGTGATGCTAGCAAAGTTAACTGTTCCCAGGTTATTGAAAGACTTAGTCTGACTAATCCATGTGTATCACCAACAGAGGGAAGAATGCTATTTCTGATTCATCAGAATTCAATGTTGCAAGCAAAACAAACAACACATTTGTAGCAATAGATTTTTGTAATAATTCTTTACTTAAACCTGATTAGCTCCCTATTTCTGTTTACATATATGTATTTTTAATAGCATAACTAATATAGTCATTACATGCTGTAAGAGGTTGTATCAACCACAGATTAAACATTTGATTAGAGCTTCCCCTTAATTCTTGAAGGATGAGTTGAAATAAAGAAAATATATCACTACTATTCTACAAGACTGTAAGCAATTGATTGGTGGTATTCTTAAGCTGAATGCAGTCTTTTCTATTTATTTTTATACTTCATGTAAAAGAAGTCTCTTTTCATATTCAATATATTGGGAGGAATGAACTCTTTTGATATTTAAATATAAAAATCTTCAAGGAGTATATTTCCCCTTTGGGCTGATTTTTCTAACTTTTGAGAACTCTCTAGATATTCTTGACCACATTCACACATAACATCTTGTAAAACTGTCAGAATGAGACAGCTGTAATGTTTTAGCCATAATAATGCCAGCTATTGATCCTAGTAAAAGAAGAAAGAGGGAAAGAATGTGCTTAATGGGACATGTTTGTTCTCTATTTTTTTTTGCCTAAGGATAAGGCTGATTTAAATAATGATACTTCTTCCTTAGTCACCAGACTTACATTAATTATTACTAACTACTAGTTAGTACTAAATGTATCAAGAGGCTTGGCTTCCAAATTTTATCAGATAATAGTATAAGAAATATTAAATTCTGCTGGTGTTTTCTACTTAAAAAAACCACATAAAGATCTAGTACCAGTGGCTCCTGCCTGTAATCCTAGCTACTCAGAAGCTGGGATCTGAGGACCATGGTTCAAAGCCAGCCCAGGTAGAAAGTCTATGAGATTCTTATATCTAATTAATCACCAAAAAGCTAGTATTGGAATGGTGGTTCAAGAGGTAGAATGCTATCCTTGAGCAAAAAAATCTCAAGGACAGCTCTGAGGCCCAAAGTTAAAGCCCCAGAACTGACATAGGGGAAAAACAAGTCATTTAAATAAGGATACAGGTGGACCCGTTGCAACAATGAGAAGTACAAGTTGTTATGTTGAAAACGAACTGTACAACTTTGGTGGTGGGGGGTAGGGAGGACTGGGTGAGGGGCGGGAGGGGAGAGGATGGGAAGGGATGGGAAGGGGAAACAAAGGAGGAGGCTACAATGCTTGATAAGAAATGTACTCATTGGGGCTGGGAAGGTGGCTCAGTGGTAGAGCGCTTGCCTTGCATGCATAAGGCCCTGGGTTCAATTCCTCAGCACCACATAAGCAAAAAGAAAAAGCCGGAAGTGGCACTGTGGCTCAAATGGTAGAGCGCTAGCCTTGAGCTGAAGAGCTGAGGGACAGCACCCAGGCCCAGAGTTCAGGCCCCACGACCGGACCCCCCCAAAAAAAAAAGAAATGTACTCATTATCTTGCCCATGTAATTCTAACTCCTCTGTACAGTATTTTCACAATAAAAAATAAATAACAATTTAAAAAAAAGTTAAGATCATGAAGATGCCAATTTGTATAAGTCACCCAGGTTTGAAAATATGCATCTATGTGTCTGTGTGCCTTCAAAGAATTATTCTGAACCTGCACTTCCTACTAAATTTGATACTTCTCATCTAAGTGCAAAATCACATGAGCCTCAGGGCATACATTTTTTATTGGGGGGGGCCCTGATTTTCAAAAATTCATGGAGAATCTTATTACCTATACCAAAAAATATAGTTGAGGTTCTTTTTGAAATGTCTAGGATCCCAGGATCTTGTGTAAAAAACTCCACTATCAATTTAACTGTATTTTAAAGCTGCATCCTAATTTACACAATCCAAAAATTATTCAATAAATGTCAATTATAAAATTACAGCCGCTATATAATCCAGCAATCCTACTAGTGGGTATTTGTTCAAAAGAAATGAAACAAACATGTTGTAGAGACACAAAGTCCCATGTTTAAATATTGGAGAACCAATCACAAGAGGTCAGCAATTGAAGCATCTAAAGGACATGAACTACTCAATGGATAAGAAAAAAAAATGGTACACTCAGACAACGGAATACTATCCCTCCACAGGAGAAGATGACATCTTGTAATCTGCAACAAAACAATGTATGTGGAACTGAAGATCGTTACGTTACTTGAAATGAGCTAGGTACCCAAAGTCAAGTAATCACATGAGTAAAACTATATGTGGGAGGGAAAACAAAGATGTTCTCACAGAAGTTGAGTTTTTCACAAAGCCTAGGAGAGCAGGGAGGAGGTGGGACAGTAAAGCCAATCAATTGGTACTAAGTTACAATTAGATAAAATACTTCCAGACTCCATTGCCTAACATGGAGATGGTAGAATGTAATCTTATATTGTGTGTGTCCAAAAGTTAGAAGGTAGGATTTTGAAAGATTTCAGTATTTTGAAAGCGATGTTTAAAGATATATGTCTATGTCACTTATATATCATATAAATTTATCTAAATACTACTGTATGTATGGTTAAGAGCATATAGCATATAGTTAATAGCCACAGTTTTAGGTATTATTTCAAATGAAATTGAACAAATGCAGAAATGCCAGGTGTTTACAATTATCAAATAAACCTTTGTAGTATTTAAATTTTTGATGATTTCTAGACAAAAACAAAATGAAAAGTATATGTCTTATTCTTCTAGCCACAGGACCAATGGAATGAAAAGAAATTAAAGTCTATGGCTTGGCCAGCTGCCAATGGCTCACTGTTATAATTGTCACTACTCAGCAGGCTGAGATTTGAGGATTGTGGTTCGAAGCCAGCCTAGGCAGAATAGTCCCTGTGAGACTCTGATGTCCAATTAACCACTCAAAAACTGGCCGTGGTGCTGTGTCTCAAGAGGTAGAACGCTAGCCTTGAGCACAAAGAGGCTCAGGAATGTCAACCAGGCATTGAGTTCAAGTCCCATAACCAACAAAAAAATAAGAATAAAAATAAAATAAAGTGTCTGGCTTAATATCAAGAATTTAAGAGCTAATACTTGGAAAAACAAAACCGGTTCCATTATGTGCTTCTTATGATATTGTTAAAATATATGTGAAACATGGAAGCACAACTCCCAGAATATCTTCTTACCTTATCAAGAGAGAAAGTTTTGGTGATGGCAAAACCCCATCCAGCTTCAAAAGCTCTTCGGATCATCGCTGAGCTTGTGGCTGGAGTTGCACTAGCAAGACCAAAGGGATTCATGAACCTGAGTCCTGCCATCTCCACGCTGATGTCCACCAGATCAACAGGAGTGTAAAAGAGGGGTAGTTCTGGCTTGACAGACACCGAAGCTCCATATTGGGACTGTAAGGAAACACACGGTCAATAATTGCTCTTGTTTTCCATCTGCATTGTCCACATACTCTTTTACACCCATCTCTTCAATGTAGCATTTGCATTAATATAAATGACATCGGCTTGTTTCCTCAGTAAAAACTGGCCCAAAGTCACTTAGCAATGAACCAAATTCATATATAATTATCATCCTTTTTTCTAATTTAAAAGGCCGTATAGAGAGTATTAACAGCAATAAAATCAATTAGACAAACAAACAACTCTATTTAAAACATACTGAGCCTCAAACACAAAAGGGAATGGTTTTAGAATTTATCACTCGGGTTCCATTAACCCAGACTCTTTGTACTTAATTTATAAAAATGTCTTAGTGCTCAGAGATATGAGCAACAGCAAGTCAGGAGAAATTCAATTTCCTGTAATCTCACTACTGTTGATGTGATTTGAGCAAAGTCTCCTGTTATGCCTCTGCCTTTTCTCCTCTAAAGTTTTCAATATAGCAATTGGAATGCTAGTTGCTTAATTTTCTACCTCAGAGGGGTACTGGGACATTCAGAAGATCATAAGCCACAGCCAGATACCTAATGTGGATAGAGCATAGTACACGCATACGTATTAGGGAAGTTTGCCTTTATAAAAACCAGACAGGTATTGAATTCATGTTAAAGTTTTCTATCAACACTCAGACCTGTATACTTAGCTTTGTTAAATAATTACTGTAGTAATGTTATCTCAGAGGACTATAGAAATAATAGACTGGAAACACAGTACCTAGCACACTAAAACACAGTAGGTGATTACTCAGTGTTGTCTCTCATCTCTCTCCCTTCTTTCCTGTTTCCTTCCCTCTCTCTCTCTCTTTCTCACTCTCCTGCCCTCCTCCCCTCCTCTCCCCTCTTTCTCTCTGAGAGACAAAGAATATTGGAATGTATAAATTGGATGAATTTTCTCAGCCAAAGTAGCTACTGAATGGACAGGGCTAGTTAATTCAAAAGTAGAGTTCCTTTCTCTTGTGAAGCATCACTCAAAAGAAAAGTTATTTGAGCAGAACTTTAATTCTATGTGTGTCTTGTGTAGATAAATGTTTCCATGACTTGCATAGAAATGGTTTCTATGCCTCCACCATTTATAATGCAAAGCAAAGTTCACTGAGTAAATAAAAAGGCACCATACTTGCCGATTAAAAGGTTATTGTGTTTTACTATTGGTCATGCAAAAAGGTGTCTGGTGAGATCTGGGCTTCAGTTTTGGCAGGGATTTTTTCTGTCAGAGATCTATTTGAATTTCAAAGCTCCTCCCTCCCTTCCTCTTTCCCTTCCATGTTTTCACATATGGTAGGCAAATTCTTTACCACTGAGCTATATCCTCAAAAACCATTGCTGAGAATTGAGCAGTGTAACTGTGTCTACTTTATGTCCTCACATGGAATTATAATACTATTAGAAGTGTTGACAAGGACAGGAGTCGCAATGTATAATACAAAGATAGAGCAGTATGCACACATGCACATATGTGTATGTGTATGTGTGTGTGTACACGTGTATGTGTGCCTGCGTGCATTCACAAGTACCTTTGTTATGTGCAGAATCTTAGAAGCAACATTGGGCACCCATGTGTTTGATTTCAATGGACATGTGTGCTCCTGTATGTATGTCTACTGGCTTTAACATTTAGAAAGGAAAGACATGGATGAACTTTGAAAGAGTCCCCTTCAGTAGCAAAACAAAAAAGAACATACACACCCAAGCTAACAGTAAATAATAAAATGTAACTGTGTACATATTAAAAAAACTCTTTCTAATGGGAGGTACAGCTTTCATTATATATATGTATATATACATGTATGTATATATATGTATATACATATATATACATACACAGCCGGTCATGGAGCTTGAACTCTGGGCCTGGGCACTGTCCCTCAGCTCTTCAGCTCAAGGCCAGTGCTCTACTACTTGAGCCATAGCACCACTTCCAGTTTTCTGGTGGTTTATTGGAGATAAGAGTTTCACGGCTTTTCCTACCTGGCTGGCTTTCCTACCTGTGATCCTCATATCTCAGCTCCCTGAATAACTAGGATTACAGGCCTGAGGCATCAGCGCCCAGCTAAAATTCATATTTGTATGTACCAAAAATGCCACTGATTTGGAGGTGTGTATGATGAAATCTCTGGTCCTCAAATTTGGCAGGCAGACTCCTGGCTTTGTGTTTAAATTCCTGAATCTTCACCACAATGTGGTGCTGGTTTTTTCCCCAGCTTCCTAGTAACCCTAGGCCTACAGAGTAACTTCTGAGAGTGGAAGCTGGCTCCTTCCTGCCCTTTGGCTCTGGGGACTGGAGCATCTCAGGTTTCATCTCTTACTACAAGGTCTAGTTCCTCCCAAATCCCGATGGCCAGCCAACACACGGAGATCTCCAGAAAAGTTCACCATCTTTGGATGTGAACACTCTGTTCTAGTCCCCCGTTCAAATATTAAAGCGTATCTCCTTGTGCACTCTTCCAGAATATATGCTATCCAGATCCTCAGCTTCAAACAATACTATTTTTCCAGCGATCCACTTGTGTTACTAAATAACAGAGAGAAGAAAACAGCCTAGATGTTGAACAACAGAGATGAGCTCCTTAAGAATTCTACGGTAAGAAGGATTGCTCTGTTAGCATCAGAAATGACACGTAAGCAAAGAATGTTTTGACATGAATGAGTGTTTATCACACACTCTGCGAAAAGGAGTGAGGTAACACTATATGTAAATGCAAAGTTTTCGGTAAATATTCACATCCATATCAATTTGCCATATGTCTCTGTTTATCCTTCTACCACAAATGGAATATATCAGTATATTAACCAGATTTATTGCCCAGAATACAGGTTTTTGCTCACTGAAATATTCGTATTTTCAAATGATCACAAATCCATTAATATGAAACATTTATATTAAACATTAAAAATTACTTACCCTTCCCAGTTATCATAAATTAGATGTTTATAATTGTGTGTATTTATAGGGTACAAATGATGCAATAATTTATGAATACAGCGTAGAACTATGAGATCCAACTAGTGAACAATGTCAGTCACTACAAATAATACTTTCTTGTAGTAAGAACATTTGACATTTTTAGCAGTTTGGACAATGTAGAATATTTTGTTTTTTTCTTGGTCAGTCGTGGGGCTTGAACTCTGGGCCTGGGCACTGTTCTCAGCTCTTCAGCTCAAGGCTCTACCACTTGAGCCACAGTGCCACAGCCAGTTTTCAGATGGTTAACTGGAGACAGGAGTCTCATGAAGTTTCCTGCCCTGGCTGGCTTTGTGATCCTCAGATCTGAGCTTCCTGAGTGGCTAGGATTTGCCTGGCAAATATTTTACCAGTAATGACATAAGTACACTGTAAAATAATTTTCAACACTGTATTTATCCTGTCAAGATTCTATTATTATTTGCCTCTCACTTCCCATTCCCTCTGTGCCAAGGCTGGTCCCTAACCCTCTAGCCTCTAAGTTTGGTTATTTCCAACTTCAGATCTGAAAACATTCAGTGGCTTTCTCTGTGTGCCTAATGTGTATCACCTGGCATAATTTTTTCCAGTTTTATCCCAACTTGTCACAGATGACAGAATTTCTTTCTTTGAATGCCGAATAGCAATCCGTTGTGTATTTATACCATATTTCCTTTGTCCAGTTATCAACTGATAGTCACTTGGTGATTTTATCACTTGGCTATTGAAATACAGTTTCTATAAAAAATAGGGATATGGCATCCCTTTGACATAAGGATTTTATATCTTTACGGTGGAATACTATCCAGGAGTAGAATTTTTATATCACATAGTGATTTTATTTTTAAATTTTTCATCAATCCCATGAACTTTTCCATCATGGCATTAATTTGCATACCTAACAATGTACAATGGCTGTTCTTCTCACCTTCAGCAACATTTGTTACCTTTCACCTTTATGGTAACAGTCACTTGATATCTCACAGTAATTTTGATTTTTTTTGGGGTCCGGTTATGGGGCCTGAACTCTGGGTCTGGGCGCTGTCCCTCAGCTCTTCAGCTCAAGGCTAGCGCTCTACCACTTGAGCCACAGCACCACTTCCGGCTTTTTTCTTTTTGCTTATATGGTGCTGAGGAATTGAACCCAGGACTTCAGGCTTGCAAGGCAAGCGCTCTACCACTGAGCCACCTTCCCAGCCCCTTGATTTTTTTTTAATGATCAGTAATGTCAGGCATTTTCCTCCATGTACCTATTGGCCAATTATATGTCTTCTTTCTGAAGAGGCTTAATCAGATCCTTTTTGGACTTTTAATTTGGTCTGTTTTCCTCTCAATATCTCAGCATCTGAATTTCTTCTTATTATTTTTTTTTATTTTTGGGTCCAGTTGTGGGGCCTGAACTCTGGGCCTGGGCACTGTCCCTCAGCTCTTCAGCTCAAGGCTAGCGCTCTACCACTTGAGCCGCAACACCACTTCCGGCTTTTTTCTTTTTGCTTATGTGGTGCTGAGGAATCGAACCCAGAGCCTCACGCATGCAAGGCAAGCACTCTACCACTGAGCCACCTTCCCAGCCCAGCATCTGAATTTCTTATCTCTAGTGGATACCAACATCGTATTGAAAATATGGGTTGCAAATATATTCTCCCACTCTGCTGGCTCTCTGTACCCCACTGATTGGTTCCATTGCTGTGTAGCTTTTCAGTTTGCTTAGCTTTGCTTTTGTCCCCTGTACTTTTAGGGATGAATTGGAATTATTGTCAAAATAATGTCATGTACTTTTCAACCTAGACTGTTCACTAGTAGTTTAAAATCTTCTGTTGCTACATTTAAAAAGGTAATTCGTTTTGAATTGGCCTTTGTTTGTGGTATAAGTATTCAAGTTTTTTTTAAAAAATAAGTTTTTTATTGTGAAAATACTGTAGAGAGGGGTTACAATCACATGAGCAAGGTAATGAGTACAGTTCTTATCAAGCATTGTTGCTTCCTCCTTTGTCCTTTGTTTTTCCCCTACC